TTTTTTGCAATTCGCCCTTTTTTTTAGCCCAGGTGAATGAGTTGGCTCAAATCTAACTTGAGTATGAGAATATATAATCAAATTGGATATATTATAAATCAAAATTATTCAGCTAAATCAATCTGTTCAACCTAGATAGCATGTATGCCATAATTATATGGCAATTATATAAAAGAAAAAATTGTTCAAAATATTCAAGTCTTTTGCATTATTAGAAATATTGAGAGAGGAAATAAATATGATATTGTATTGAATTGTATGATAAACAGTACAATAAGGTCCTATGTATAGATTAAGGTGTAAATAGGTGAGTGGTGAACAAGTAACTTATAAATGATGATATGGTAGGTGTAATCATACATGGTAATATATAAATGATAATATAGTAAGTGTAATCATACATGGTAATATTTAGTGCATAACAAACCTAAGTGGTAGATAAGGGAGTAAACTTGTAAACTAACATGTATGAAATATTAAATGAATAATCCTAATTCAATCAATATTAAATATATCGGATCTGACTGAATTGTGCTTTTAAGTTCGACTGGAATATTAAGTAGTTAAGATTGACAATACAACTAAAATAGGTCCAACATATGAAATATTCAACAATTAACCATGGTCCATAGATTCGATAATGAAATCTTTAGGTGGTATCCAAAGTGAAGTACTGGTAATGTTAAGTGAAGGGTATTTTTGTAAATGACGTCAGTTTATAATTGCCCCGGCTTGAAGCTGTTAATTTCCAAACCGATCAGGCAATACCTTCTTGGCAAGTAGAACTCCCATCTTTTCACATATAAAAAAGCTACCATATTGATCAAAGAAATTAGCATATATACATGATGAGCGCTGAATATTGCATATTTGAGCCCCTATATGTTAAGACCTAAAGTGATATATCTATCCTGTTTTATACTGATTTATGTTTATTTCATATTTTTAGGTGTTTTCCCAAAGAAGCAGTTAAAATCGGGCTTTTATAATGAAAAGAATGATAATGAAGTTTACCGCGTCGTTGATGGTCATCCGAAGTTAGCCGAGAGTCAAAATGGTGAATTTTGGAAGAGTTTAAGTTCAGAAGCTCGAGCCTCAATTTTAAGGCTCGAGCACAAAACAAGAAATTCCACCAAGCCAAGAAAGCTCGAGCTTTGAATTCAAAGCTCGAGCCCGAATTAGAAAGCTCGAGCCTAACTTAAGGGTGCTCGAGCCTTTGCCTAAAAACTCGAGCACATGATGTGTCGGAATAAGAAAATTTGATCCAAGCTCCCAGGACCTCGTGCCAAGTCTCAAAGATTGAACACTAACACCCAGAGCTCGAGCCCACAACCCCAGAGCTCAAGCTCAATACCTTGGGATTGAACACCATCAATAAAAAGACGTTTCAGAACAATTTTGCTCCTAGAGCTAGAGCCCGAGCTTTAAGGCTTAAGCCCGAATCAAAAAGCTCAAGCACCACCACTTTGGGCTCGAGCATGGCTGAAAATTCTGAACCCGCTTTAGTATTTTGGACATAACTTTTGACTCAGAACTCTAAATTGAGCAAACTTAGCGGCTCTAGAAAGAAGACTCGAAGCCCAATATTTTTGTCTCTAGTAGCCATATCGAGATTCGCACTCTAAATGGGTCAAAATCGTGTTACAAAGTCGGAACAAGTTGTTGGCAAGTGATGCTCGAGCCTGGGACTCTAGAGCTCGAGCCTTAACATCCTGAAACTTAAAAATACATGCGGGAATTATATATTTTCACCTTTCTTTATTTCCTTATGGGCCCAATTGTTACCAAAAGCTGTAAAACCAATCCAAAGGGAATTGAGACTTGTTCTCCACTATAAAAGAAAAGGAGAAGGCTATAGAAAATCATCCATTAATCTCTCTCATATCTTTCTCACGGTGGCTTTTAGGGTTTTGAAGAAGAAGATCCAAAAGGAGTTTTGGCAGTCCATGGCGATGAAGACCATAACAACACATATGATATATTGCATCATCATGAGTAGCTAATTCCTCTCTTAGGGCATTGATGTAGCCCGAATGCGAATATTATGGTCTGATTGTTCTGTACTTTGGGAATTTAATATATTATGTATTTTGATTGAATGATTTTGGACAATTGCTTAATTCAATTGGTTTTTAATAATTACATAGTTTTTGAATGATTAATACCTTGTCTTAAATTTAATTATTCTTAAATTATATTCAACTCATTCATATTAAACGATATCTGGCGGAGTTCTATCGGACATAAGAATGAAGATCATGTAATGGTGTTCAAATATATTTTGTGAATGAATATTTTCATAGTCTACACCTAGGGCAGACGAGTTATACTACAAAATTAGTTAGTGTAGGTAGGTAGATAATTCGTGCCAACCAAAGATAGGTTATTATTAACTGAAATTCATGAAACATCTTTCTTTAAATCTGAATTAAACGAATTTTATTGAGTTTAATTCTATATGATACATAATTATTGAAATCCTAAGGTTCAACAGTTGACCATGTAGGAGGATCGTGGTAAAGTCAATCCCTAAGTATCTCTACCCTTGATCTTTTCTTTTACTTTATTTATTTTCTGTTTATATATTGCAACACAACACACAAAATCAAATTCTTTTTCTAAATTAAAATAGTATTAATTGAAAACTTGATAAACCACCACAGTCCTTGAGGTTCGACACCCTCAGCATAGCCCTATCCTACAATAATTCGCTCTATTGCGAGTAGTTAATTTATTATTAACACATCAATTTTTGGCGCCGTTGCCGGGAACTGTGTCACGGATTTATTGAATTCGAGATTAATTCTAGTTTAATTTATAGTTTAGAACTTTGTATATATTTTTCTTTTAATTTTTTCTTTCTGTTTTCAGGTGCAAGATTTAGGCGTGGGAGTAACAAAGCAGAAGGAATAGAATTTTCTGAACCTTTTGCGAATTTTTCCTACTCTTATCCTTATACTTATTTTTGTTGTATATTATTATTATTATTATTATTATTTATGTTGAAGAGGATTGAGCGTGAATGGAGGAATTTTTAGATACAGGTTATAGGGACCATTACATCCCTTCTACTTATAACCCTCCATCATGTTTTGTTCCTTATGAAATTGACTCCAATTCGCTACAAGCATTACCATCTTATTATGGACTTGATTACTCTTTTTATCCTCCTTATAACAACTACCCTCCCCAACAATTCTATGTAGAACCAACTCCCTCACCTTCTAGGTACTTGCCTGGATTTGAAGAAAAAGTATTAGCTGCTTTTGCTAAACTTACAAAAATTTACCCACTTGTTCATTCTCATTCAAGCCATAGCCAGGCTAAAGGCTCAAGTTGAGCAAATAGTAAGTACTCTATCTCATTTAGAGGAAGAAGAAGTGGCAAGTCAGCTAGTGGCCAATCCAATAGAGCATAACATGATTAATGAGGATATTCATTGTGAGTTAGATCATAAATCTATTCAGGCCATCAATACCTTAGAGAGTGGGGAGAAGGTGATTCATTTAGAGGAAGAGAAAAATAATGAAGAGAGTGAGTTTCCTAAAGATCCAATTGAGTCTTTGAAAGATACTGCCTTGCTAAATAATAAATGAAGTAATTCTTTGAATATACTTCAAGAGTACAACAAAATACGGCATTGCCAAATCTCCGGCAACGGCGCCAAAACTTGGTAGTTGGAGAGTCGTGTGCACCACCAAATTAATGTTGTAAAGTGTGGCTAAGTTTAAATTTATAGAATGCCACTACCACTACTAACTATTAATGTAGCTAGAGCGAGTAGGGATCGCCCCAAAAGAAATGAACGATATTTTTGGAATCAATGACAGAATAGTAGGTTGAATGATCAAAAGAGGGTTTGGTTTGATTAAGCTATTGGTTCAATTAAAATAATACAAGTAAGTAACAATCTAGAAATTAGAGAAAGATATATGAGACAGAGGTCTTGAGGCTTAAAGTTCACCACTAATCTTCACTTCACCAAACACTAGCAATTGTAAATTAATTGGGAAATTCAAGTTGTAAAATGTGTGTGTGTGTGTGTGTGTCACTAATTGAAAACAAATAAATATAGATTGTCTAGTCAATCTAGTGAATAGCACAATCTATCAATTGAGACCAAAAACCATTCAATTAAACCACAATTAGTGCACACACAATATTATAGAGAAATGTGTTCTTTGCACTCATAAGTATGGAACATCAAACAATAAGAATGGATTGTCCACCTATCCAAGAAATTAAAGCAATTACACTACAATTAGGCTAGTGATATGAAAATTAAGCTAACTAAACTAAGGGTGTGGTACAATCCATCAAGATACAAGTATAAACTATCAAATAAATCACAAGAGTATTCAACTAAGCACTATGCCTTGACGATCACTAGATTAACAATATCAATACACATAGACATGCATCAATTTCACTAAATCTAGAGAAAAACAAATGACCATTCATTCTAACATACATAGACATATGGATATAATTAAATGATTAATTGAAAGTATTAATCCATACAAATCAAGTAAAAATCACAAGATCTATATTTTCATGGTCAAAACATTTATTACAACTAAAATCCCAAAAAAAATACACAAAAACTAGATTTAGGAAGCAACCCTAGGGGCTATCTCTAGCCCCAAGAGAAGGATTTAGCCACTCATTGTAGTGGTCAAGAGCTAGCTTGGAGGTTGGCATTATCATCTTCATCCTTACTTTCTTCCCAAAAACCCTAATTCTAGAGAGAAAACTATTTCTATCTTTTTTTTAAAAAAAAATTACTCTAAGATATTCTTTACAATAAGCTTCAATGAATCAATTACAAGCCTCTTTGAGTAGGCACCAAGTCAGAAATACAGCCTATGTCACACCCCTAGACCGTAGTCAGGATTGTGAACATAACACGTAAACAGTTACAGTCTCACAATCACTAATATCCCTGTAACCTGTCTCAACCACACGTCCACCTATCTATTTCCTTTTTACAAAACCAAGACTGAAAGTAAATAGGTAAGACGCATATATTATAACTTTAAAGTTTTAAAGCCTGAAATAACATTTATTACATGCCAGGAATACTCTAAAGAAATATAAAACAAAACATAGTCTATCATACGGAACAAAACACAACAACACCAGCCCTAACTCTGTTTACAGCTGAGGAGGAACACCCTTTACACCATTCATGCCATGACCTAATAAGATGTGTATAAAATAAGAATGAGCAACCACAGTTCAGCAGTAGTTACTTAAAACGCACTCCTTAATACCTCCGTGAATCCAGACAAAGAACAGGCAAAGGATAATGGGATCATACAAGCTCGAGAAAACAGAATATAATATGAAATAATAAAATGAAGTGTCATGCAATGCCAATGCCAATGCTAATGCCACTGACACTTCTCACTTCCCAAAAATCCCATTTCCATTACAAAAAAAGTTAATGTAATCCGCCCAGGGCTGCTCCCCAGTACCACGAGAAGAGAGTTGGTCATCTATCCCTGATACAAGGCCACTCCTTGTGATCATTTGGGGCTTTAGTGACACAACTACTCGTAGAGCCACTCCCTACGTCTCCTCTAGATTCCCATTAACTACATAGACAAGGCAACTCCTTATCCGGTTTTCAAATTATTGATTCAAATCCCTTTTCCAAATTCACAGATACAAGGCACCTCCTTGTTATCCGGTTTTCAAAACCATTTAATGAAACATTTTCACTTCCTTTTTCATTTCAACATCATCCCTATGCTCATGTGAGATGCATGTACATTTATAGAATATGATATACAAGTAATGAAGTAAATAAGGAAATCTTGGTTCATATACAATATCATGGTATGCATTTTAATCCACACATAAGCATGTTAATTTAACAGTCTAACTAAGCACAATTGTAGAACACAATAAAACATGCTTTCTATTTCACATTTGCCACATAACAACTTCCATAGTGCTTAATAACATTTAGAAAACAAGTACCCAACTTCTGAAATATCATAACCAGTGTTCTAATTTTTAAGTAGCAGCCTATGTTTACAAGGTCATAACTTTTTCTCAAGTTTGAATGTAAGGCTGAAATTGATATCATTAGAAAGCTTGTTTTGAGCTAATCAATTTAGACTCAAAAATTGCTCAATTTGGATTTAAAATGAGAAAGTTATGGCCAGTTGAAGTTCAGGTCGATGATCAGGAAATTCTGCAAATTTAATGCGCGAACCTGACAGCCTATGTTTACAGGGTCATAACTTTTTGCATAGTTGGAATCTAAGGCTGAAATTGGTATCATTGGAAAGCTTGTTTTGAGCTAATCAATTTAGACTCAAAACTTGCTCAATTTGGATTTAAAATGAGAAAGATATGATCCTTTGAATTTTAGGTTTTTGTGATTCCAGAATTGTAAAAAAAAACAAAGAGCGGCCTATGTTTTAAGCACAAAACACACATAGAATTGATTCCTTAAAAGTAAAGGGTGTGAGAGTTAAGTAATCCTACCTCAAAGAAGCTTGAAAACCCTTGCAATAACAATTTAAAGCAACCCAAATGATGAATCAAAGCTATCCAAGATGAAACATGAACTTGATTATTTTAGAGAACTTGATATCCTGGTGAGAATACACTACAAGAAAATAGAATTTTTACAACCTGTAATTAATGAGATGCATAAAAAGTAAGCTATGTTAAGTACTAATTTAAGCCTCATGTTTTGAAGAAGTCACTTAATTGCCTATTCAATTTTTTTAGAAAAAAAAAAACACCTACATTTTAATTATAACGACCTATTTGTTGCATTGTCAATGTTGAGCCAAAATTGAATTTAAATTAACATCATTCCCTTCCTATGCCTTGTGGAAAAAAATTCCTGCACCGTAAGGCCACTAACTCAATGTCAGCACTCACTATTACAATCAGCTACTATATACAAATTCAACAACTCTAATTTCTTCTAGAAACCATCTCTAAGACCATAAAAATTCCAAATCATTCATGCACTGACAGAAAGCTTAGTGAGGTCCACATTGGAAAACAATCAGGCGTTCCACTATTTTTCCATTCAACCATTGGGTGATCATTTCTTTGAATCAGGAATATACTCTATGAATTTCCTTTCATTATTTTTGGATGTTGAAACAATTAGTTGGATGAAGACAATATCTTTATGAGTTTTTAGCCTTATTATTCCCTATAGCATTTTTTTTTTCTTTGAAGATTTTTTTTTTTTTTTCATATGCTTATAACAACATTCTGATGATATGTTCATGTTTACTACTTTGTTCGAGTTGAATGCCCATATTCATAATTCTTTATTGGTTTGGTTTTCATCTTTCAACTTGTCTCTTTTTCTTAACAATTAGTATTCTCTAAAATTATATGTTTTTCTAACTCTTTAAAGATGAGCTCAAAAAAATTGTGCGTTAAACAAATATTGGAATTTTATATTATAAAAAAAAATGAACTAGACAAATCTAATATTTGGTCTAAACGAATGACCACAATTGCTATATTATGGCTGCTTAGCTGATTGGTGTTGTCATCAAATCATGTAAAGTAGGTAAAAAACAATTTAACTATTTCCAATGCATTTAAATAAATTCAAAACAATTAGGAATGTACTAATGTCGGAAATGCAACACATGAAACAGGTAAAAAGAAATTAAATCGAAAATCAAGTAATTCAATTCCTAAGCATAGGAAAAGACTTAATTAAAATTGAACAATCTAGATATTGTGATGAATTCATCCATTGATTTATGTATTTCACAAGTCCTTGGTATATTCATAGTTCTTAAGTTCCTGTTATTTTGTGAAGCCTATATTTTGTGAAGCTTGTGATGTATAGCACCGTTGTTTTGTAAAACCCTAGCAAGATACATGTATGTAATGTATGTATTTTCTTTGTAAATAGATTTAGAAATGGTGTTTTTGTAGACGACTTGGGTAGTTCTCCTACCGTTGTTAAATCTATGAGGATATATTGTCAATAAATGAGTTAAAAATATAGTATCTTTTATAATTGTTCCCCCTATTGATTTGTGTTAAATCTGTTCTACCTTATGAGCTATATACTCCTTTTGTTGTCAAGGAACTTGCATTATCTCGGTTTTGGGTTAAGTTATCATCTATGGTCAGTTGGAGAAAATGATATATATATATATATATATAATCTCTTTAACTCTTGCAACCGTGGGAGTTTTCTAAAATTCTGTTTTAAAATTTCTCTAGTTCTTCCTTGGAAATGAATTTGTATCAGGAGATGTAGTCCTTCAAACGCTACAAAATATTTACCATACGTTCCCTTCTGTGTCTAAAGTCTCTCTGTAAAATTTGATAATTTTTGGACAGGTGTGTATTTTCTATAAAAAAAAAAACATTGACTATCTGCTGCCCAGTTTTTTTTTTTTTTTTTTTTTTTTTATCACAGTTCGGGGACTGATTTTGAGAAAATGATTTGATGGACTTCCCGACATCATTAAATTATGAAACTTTCTAGTTCATGTGTCTAGTTTATAAAAACAAGGCTGCAAAATTTTATCAGCTCCATAAACAACTAGGCAAGCCAAAGTTCGGCACGCGGTTGGATTTCAGCATAAGCTGTGAAAGCCTTCTTCCTTCTAAAAACTGCTTTCACTAGTGTATTTCCAGCATTTGGAAATGGCTCAGTCACGTTGTACTCTAAGTCTACTTTCTAAATAATTTTACTTTTCCTCGTTCCGATAAAAATTGAATTTTCTATGATTTTTCGAATAACCGCTGCACAGAATTTTTATTTAGTTGAGCATTGTTGTTCCAATTTTCGTTTAAACCTTATTAATTGCGCCCTATGGTCTTGGGGCATGACAGGTTTTGTTTTAATCTTCCAACTTGTCTCCTTTATAGATTGTTTGCTTGTCAATTTGTACATAGATTTCACAATAAATATTTCTTATATAGCTTTGTTTCATTTTCTACATTCAACATATCTCTCCCGGTGGAAGTAATATGTTACTGATGTGTTTAAAAAACAAAATCCTGATTTGTACAAGTATTGGCCCTAACATCTCAAAATTTTATTTGAATTACTGTTTCATTCAATCTATTCGTAGTTTATAATCAACTATTTGGCGTTTTTAAAAATGTTTTCTTTCAATTTTGGTGAATTTAGGGAGGAATTTAGGAAGAGGAGAAGCACCCTAACAACAAATATGTCTCAATTGTATGTATTTGTCATCTCTTTAGACCTACAAATTTAATTCAATTTTGTTGACTTTTATGTTTTGAATCATTTTTTTTTTCTTCTTCCCTTTTTCTTTTTGTAATTGTGTTGTGATTATGCATTATTTTCTATGATTAGGTTGGTAAAGCTGGTGGAGATAAATGGAAATCCATGAAGCTGTGAGTAAATTATCTAGAAAAATAGTTCTAATTTCTGGTTCAGATTTATTAGTTAGAGCTGCAGATAACATTTTTATCTTTGGTTTTTTTTTTTTTTTTTTGCCCTTCAATTTATTCCACTTTGATTCATGGGTGCATTCATGATCTGGTTACCTTATCTATTTTTTATATGGGTTTCGTTTCTCTGTTTATTGTATCCGTAAAAAGTATTAAAAATGTGCAATTGTATAATTGAGTAATGCTATATTCAATTTCATGATTTGCCCTAATATTTTAGAGTATTGTATGTTAAGTTTATTGTGATATGCTCTCAGTTTCATTTCCCACAATTTGCAAGGGAAAAAAATGTTCAACTTTTTAAGCATAGAATGCATTGCCATGGACTACCATGTGGATTAAACATGATAGTGAAGATAAAATAAAAAATATATCTTACCAAGCATATCTTAAGTTATTTTATATTTCATTCTCACTTTCTTAAAAAATCAAACATATAAATCGTAATTTTCTATCAAGTAGCAATGAAAAAGAAGAATACTCTGACCTTTGTTGTAGACTGGAATCATGGAGATTCTGATCCTTCTGCTCCTAATTTCATTGCTCCGGGAAAATAAGAACATAAATAACAGAAAATAAGTAGTTGAAAATCAAATCCTTTTATCACATGGTAACCACTAAAACAGAATCATCAATTCAACAAGGTTCCAATATGCACTTACTTTCTTGTTAAAGGTATAGCCGTGTCCCATTAATTAAACACAGTAATGTAGGTTATCAAATTGTGATTACACATTGTGAGAACCCACTACGCATTTTTGCAAGAGAGAGAGATGCAAAAAGGTTTCTAATGCAATAATAAGTTAACGATTTTCTGAAAAGCTTTACAAATTTTTCAGGGGGTACATGATACCAATTAAAACCAATGGTGATATTGTTATGAGACTAAAGCCACTGCCAACACCATCATAACTTGATACAACAAGCCAAAAAAGAGAGGTGTAGTAATTAAAATCAGATAAGTATGTTAATGCAAGAAGAAGAAATTTTAAAAAGAAAATTTTCCTTTTGACTTCTAAGAAAAGAACAGTTTAATGAGAGCTGGATTATGGGCACATAATAAATAAACCAGAGCTTTTATGAGGCAGTGTCCAAAATTGAATAAGAAAGACTAAAGGAATAGAAAAAAAAAAAAAAAAAAAAAAACCAGGAATTTTTATTTCTTAAATTATGCAATTAAAGAACTAGAACATGAATTCAAAGTGGAGATGTAATGTGTGTTTTCAATAGCTATATGAACAAACCACTAGTCCACAGAATCACCACATGAGCAGAACAGTGGAGATGTAATGTGTGTTTTCAATAGCTATATGAACAAACCACTAGTTCATGTTGATAAAAAAAAATTTCAGATTCAATCTTTGCAGATTTGTAATCCAATTCAATCCAATTCAGATTCTTTTTTTTTTTTTCTTTTTTTTTTTCTTTCTTTTTTCATGCCCAGATTCAAATTTTCTTGTAGACATAATTGACAAAAAAAAAAAAAAAAAAAAAAAAAAAAAAAAAACAGAAAGAGAAGTATAGAAAAAAAAATTTTAAAAAATTTGTTTTGCTGAAATAAGATGTAGATTACGGTGATTACCTCAAAATGCAATGCAAATTTTATTACTAGGAAGTTTATTATTAATTTTTTTATCATTATTGTTGTTATTATTATTTTAAAGACTGATATTATGAATGGAAACTGAACCAATAAAGCAATCAAAAGGGAGCCCAAACCAATGCATCAGTAAGCTGCTGCTAGATGGTACAATGAGGGGGCTAGATGGTACAATGAGAGGTCACTGCTTCGAGAACAAAGAAGAAACTACAAATGAAAGGATTAAGTCAGGATTACTGTGCCTTTGGGATCATTTTCATTAGTTTAATTCTTTGCTAGCAAAAGTCCAACAATAGGCCTCTTTACAAAGAAGCATGTGATGATAAGGATGATATAAGCCATGCTCGGCTCCTTGTCCTAATAAGAATTTAAAAATAGTCTAAAGAGAAGTAAAAGACTAGCATATCTTGTGTTTTGTCTTTTGAAAAATTAAGACAAAAAGAGGAATAAACCATAACAATGGGCTTGGAGTTATGGTAATTAAAAATGTTAGATACTTTGATCAAAATTTTGAATATTTTTTACAATAAATTTTAAGATTTTGTGAGTTATTTACTAAAGTGTGTTTGTGTGTGCTTTTAATGAGTAAATTCTGGAGGTAGATTGTTTTCAAGTATTTAGATAAATAATTATTATGCATTTAAGTGGCTAAAACTTCCATGTGTATATATTGTTGCCAGCAACACACAAACCTAATCAAATTAGTCTCACATATTTGCATATAGTATTATTTATTTTTTTAGCTTACTTAACAAGCTTGGTTCAATCAACTTGCTAGCCAATGCTAGTATATATAGTCATATATTAAGTCTTTAGTTGTGAAGAGGTAAGGTCACAAACTCACCTGGACACGTGGGGGTGAATTTACACACATATTATATAAGGCTAAAGCTTCCGTTATTTCCTTGATTCCTTAATGTAGTCACAGTAGCATTTCTCTCCCTTCCTCCTTTTTTTTGGACCCATTTTGGAGGAATTTATGGACTACACATGAAAAATAAGAAAAGAAAACAAACCATTACAAGTTAATATAAGGCATCAAAAAAAAAATTAAATAAATGTGATTTTTACTTACTTTTGTGGGACCACGAATGCTGAAATTTGGCTATCTTTTTTCCTCTTCAATTTCCTCCTCCTCTGCTCTTATAATGAGAATAACATATATATAAAAACAAAAAGTCCATTTTCATATAGTTATAAGAGATACACAAGATGCCATGAAACAATTAACATCATCATATATATATTAATATAAATAGACAAATAATATAGATGACCTAAACACAATTCAATTAATTTATCTCATCACCTAAACTTCATTTGAGTCATTTTTAATGATTGTGTAGTAATTTCCACCCTTCTTGTAGGAGGTCTCCACAATTAGTTTTGACTTTTTGATATGCGATTCAAATTTCAGCCCAAATAGACACACCAAATTTGGAACGAAATATATCAGTGTTAGTAAATTGTTGTCTAGAGATTTGTGACCCATCAAAGCTTTAAGGTTGTCTAAAGACTCTAAACTAAAGTGATATAGTCTTAAAGACTCCAACTGATGTACTAGTGATAGCGAGTCTTATCCTTGAGACATGTACTCAAATTATACCTATAAAATACATTAAATCCACTATTGTTTGAGAGAATCTATAGTAGTTCAAATAATTCTAAAACCTTCTATGAAGTCTAGAAATTGCAAAAGAGATTTGGGAGAATCTAGAAATTGGCTAAAATTGTTTTCATGAATATCTACAAAATAGGTCATTCTTTTATACCCATTTACTTATTTTTTTGCTTTGATGTGCATCTCTTTTTTTTTTTTCTTTTTTTTTTGTTTATTTCTTTTGGAATTCGTTTGATCTTTTTTTGATTGGGTGTTTTCTGGTTTTCATTCAACACACTGTTGTAACTTGGCTTTCAATGGAACTTCGGGAGATGTATTCTAATATTTTTCAAAGCCTAATTCTATCATGATTGACCCAAAACCTATATATACAAGCTTTTCATTATTGAAATTAAGTTTTGCATAATTGGAAGAAAATTAAGCTTTTTGAGAGCTAAGTGTTCTGTTTAAGCCCTAAGTTATTCTTTGCACACTTGAGTTATAGATTATGTGACATTGAGCATACATTAGATTCATCAGTCAACAAGTAAAAAGACATCATCCAAAGTTTAATAGTAAGTTTGTTTGGACAACCACATAGAAAAGTGGATCATCATGAGGTGATTACATTGGTATGAATCAATGTGGTATCGTTGGTAATTCTGAAGGCAGTGGACTTGGAGAGAACTGGGCGTCAGAGGTAAATAAATGGCAAGTGATTTCAAATATACTGGAGTTAAAAGCTTGAAGCATTTCGAAAGTGAGTGGAACTCATTATACTCTTTTCCAGAGATAATGGATATTTTTTCCTTGAGACAGTGAAGTCACCATGCCTTCTTCCAATCTAGTTTTCCATATTAAAAACTATGGTGTCTCCGTCTATACATTTTATTGCACTTTTTACTTTTCTTGCGTGTGTTTATTAATTAACAAATAATAACTTAGATTTTTTAAAACAAGCAATTGAGAAAAATGAACCTGTTCTCCCTCACTCTCGGTCGATTTACATAGAACCAATATCAACTTACTGTCAAATATGCACCTCAAAATGCTTCAAAAATGAAGTATCATATCATGATGTGGTTTTCTGAAATGAATGATCAAATATGCACCTTATATCCACCAAAGTTATCATAAAGAGCCATTCTATCAGTTACAAGTGACTATGAGAAAATTTAATTTCACTCTTGTTACCATAAAGTGCGAATGGAGAGAATGGAAAGAGTAGTTTCATGAAAACATCAACTTACTGCACGAATATTTACACGAAGGGACGCTGCAGGCCATAACGTAATATACTCAGGCAGGCAACATATTATGGTTGATTAACTTCCAGAGTTTTCCCTATAACAGAACAAAGGAATCAAGCAAATTGTTCATGTTATCTAGAAATCTCAAATAAACTTGCATCTCTTGCATGAAATGTGATAGAGATCACATGTAACATATTGGAACTCACATGAAATAATTGAAGGGAAAAAAGGCAAACATTGGATTTTTTAAGTGAGGAGCACAAAAACAAGTTAAAAACTGACAGTCTCCTTCTCTGCATCATCTCAACATAAAAAAACTCACAAAAAAAAAAAAAAAAAAAGTTGGATAAATAGCAGCCATTTATTTGGAGGAAATGATCATATAAATTTGTTTACGGAAGTGAAGAGCTAATTCACTAATTATTCTCCTCTGACAATGGTAGGAGTAAATATGACATGCTAACACTGCCATCCATATCCTCCATATTTTGTAGTGTTTGGTAATGTTAACATTCCTTTGGCTACTTAGGTTATGAATTTGCAGTCCAATCAGGGCATTATGCCTCGTGACTATCAATCATTAAATTCTCATATACAAATTCCTATAACATAGTAATTTGAGTGCACCCCGTACGCATGATGAAGCATTGACATAAGTCATAAATGAAAGAAAATACTCCCTATATAATATGATACAATAACATAAAACATCTCATATTCAGCACTGAACCCTAAATTGAGAAGTCCATTAAGCAAGAACCTGGTGAAGCAAAGGAGTAGTCATTACCTAAATTCTTAAACTGCAACTGAGACAATATAACAGCAGGTATATAAGCCTCTAGCGGATCAAGCTTTTTTCTAGTGAATACATTTTAAGAAGGATTAGGAATAGTACAAAAAATCATCATAAAGCAGGGATTAGAAACAGTACAAATCATCATAAAGCACACGATAGTTTCCAATGAGCATTGTGAGCCTGAGGCTGAGGACTCGAGTCAAACCCCAAGCCCCATATAAACATCAGGATATGTTACTTGTTGCTTATGCATAAGTTTCAGTACAAACAGAAAGATACATTTTTCACATTGCGAAAAACATATAAATACAGAAAATAAACTACTGTATTTCTGAAAATAGACAATCAGCATATCATTCTTCTCTCGTACCAACCATCCAAAACAAAATTGTTGAACCAAAAATTGTCACAATCCATAATTGTCATAACTAAAGATTATATATATTTTATCAAGTGCCACAATGTAGCAACACATATATTAAGAAGCAAATATTAGACACTCACAAAAAGGGAGAAGGCTCAACAAAGAGAGCGATACACTGAGGCTTCGAATTAATTTCCGATTCAAGCAAAGAAGGATATATATATATATTACGTGAATGCAAATAAAAGCGAAACCCAATCAATAATGAAATGAAAAGAAAAAAAAACCCCACCCAAATCCAGTCACAACCAAAGCAAATTCAGCCAATAAAATCGACAATAAACTAGAGAAAAAAAATATGCATGTGTTAGCCCTAAAAATGTTTAAGAAATAAGGATTGAAGAAAACCCTTAAAATGTTTGAGAAAGAGGGATTGCAGATTACCTGAAGAATGAAGGTAAATCTGGATCCTCAAGTTTAGAGGTCGAAATTGGTTGAGATCGCTCCACTCTCCGACTTCAAGCCCAGATGGGGTAAATGATCTTGCCTCCTTAACAGAAATAATGGAAGAAAGAAAAGGATTAGGGCATTTTTGGAAACCAAGTATGGGTAAGTTCAATCGTTAGGGTAGGGATTCTACTTTCGGCTAGAAGCTTCGATGTGGCTCACCAATTCTACATGCTTGATGTCGTCTTCTTCCTCATGATCATGTACCGTCTAATTTCTTTGGGGACAGATTGGGAAGTACAGCTTGATGTTCCTCTTCTTCCTTAGAGCTAGGTGTTGTGGGAATGAAAGAGGTAGTGAGTGTATTTTGTGTGCGCGCGCGTGTGTGTACGTGTGGGCTAGCTTTTGTCTGACTAATGGAGCTTCGCGCGGGAGTGAAAAATAAGTGGGCGGGATTTTTAATTTCGTTTTTATTTTCATATTCACGGGAGGAAAATACTCCCTTAATACCAAAAGGCCATTGGCCCAATGATATAACATTTTCATATTTAAAGAAGAAGAAGGGGTTCGAGCCACGGCATAAGCAAAAAAGTATGTGTATATTTACTTTACCATTAAAAAAAAAAAAATTTCCCTTAAAAATATATTTATTAACGAGTGGCTAATCTTTAAACTTCCTTGAAAACAGTTTTTTACGAGAATTTTATTAACATCAAACCCACTTTTCTTGTAGTGAAAGCACGTTTGAAAAGTTTAATTATTAGTTATTACTCATAAATGTATTTATAGAGACCGTAACGTTTAAATTTTTTAATTATTAATTATATAATGTATTTAATTAATATATAATTTATGTTTTAACTTTGGCCATTATGCGAAAAATAAGAAAAACAAAATTCAAAATTTATCTAAAGTAAAAAATAATTTTTTTAGTTTAGGACATTAAATTCCATGACACAAATAGTTTTGTTTTTTAAATAATGATTTTTCAACAATGCTTTGTTCAGTGAGAAAGAAAAAAATTGGCATATATTGTTCACTTGAACAACAGGTGATCAGTGATGGAAAAGAAGTTATAGAGACTAGAGACAGTATGATATAGTGATATGCGGCGTATGCTGATATGGGTTTTGAACTTTTGATTCTCGCAGTTGCAAAGACCAGAGAGAGATATAGAGAAAGATATACATGTTTGGTTTGTAACTTTGAAAACAATTCTCAAGAATTCAGAGAACAGAAAACTGTTTTTAGAGAACTATAAAAGCAATTATTTGAAAACAAGCATTTTATAACTGAGTTTTCAAAAAACGATTCTCAGAATACGTAACCGAGTAGAATTTTTTGTACAATTTTCTGTTTTCAATTTTCTGAAGTAGAATTTTTTGTATAGTTTTCTGTTTTCAATTTTCTGAAAACAGAAAACTGTTCTCAGAGTTACAAACCAAGAAGACCCATAGAGCTTGCTTGGTTTGTAATTCTGAAAACAGTTCTCAATAATTTAGAGAACAATTAAAGACAGTTCTCTCAAGGAAATGTTTATTTATTTATTTTACTTTTAGGATATTCCTAAAAACAAATCCAATTAGGGGTGTATACGTTTTGGTTTGGACCGTTTTGAGAGTTTTTTTGGAACCAAATCATTTCTAACGGTTTTAAAAAAATTAGAATCAAACTAAACCATTTAACCAAAGGAACCAAATCGAATCAAACCGTGAAACAAGGTTCAGTTCGGTTCGATTCCACAGTTTCTCTTTTATTTATTTATTTATTTTTCCTATTACAGAAATATTCATGCATATTTCAAAATTCAAATGCACAACAATAAACCAAGTTAATCAACACATTCAGAACTGCTAATACATTCACTTCTAGAACATTATAAGTTAATACATTCAAAAGTGTTAATATATTCAGAACTTTTAATTCATTTTACAATATTTAGCCACTATAGAATTATATTACTCCATACTATATGTATAATTTGATACATATACATATATATAACTTAACTGTTCGATTCGGTCGACTTTGATCTTAAAGGGCCTCAAACCTTGAACAAATTGTATATATATATATATTCTCTTATTTAAATTTAAATATGAATTATATAAATTACCCCTTAACTTTATTATTATAATTAATTTATTATTAAAAAAAATAGTTATAACTACCATTTTATAAAATGATTAACTTATTATTAGAACATTGGGGCATTTTTGGCAATAGGTAGTATTAGGCACAAAATATAATTTAAGGGGGTCATTTGCAAATTCAAGCATAGTTCAGAGAATTTTTTGCACTTTATCATTTATTTATATATACACACACACTTTTATATATTAAAAACATACCTTATGATATGTTTTAAATTTTCTTATTATTTCCTAAACAAGTATATGGTGACAGAAGGCTAATTTGTGACAAGAATTTATTCTTTTGTGACGAAATATCTTTTGTCGCTAAAAGATAGAAATAGGCGACAAATAATTTGTCACAAAGAGTCGATTAATTGTGACAAAATGAGTTTTGTCACAATAACTCAATCTTTTGCGACAATGCATCATTTGTCATTAGAAGGTTGTTTGTAGCGACAATAATTTTTGTCGTTAAAATACCACCAATTGTGACAAAGCTATATTTGTCACAATAACTCAACCTTTTTGCGACAATGGATCATTTGTTACTAAAAGGTTGTTTGTAGCGACAATAATTTTTGTCGTTAAAATGCCACCAATTGTGACAAAGTTATATTTGTCACAATAACTCAATATTTTTGCGACAATGCATCATTCGTCATTAGAAAGTTGTTTGTAGCGACAACAATTTTTGTCGTTAAAATGCCACCAATTGTGACAAAGCTATATTTGTCACAATAACTTAACCTTTTGCGACAATGCATCATTTGTCACTAGAAGGTTGTTTGTAGCGACAATAATTTTTGTCGTTAAAATGCCACCAATTGTGACAAAGCTATATTGGTCACAATAACTCAACTTTTTGCGACAATGCACCGTTTGTCACTAGAGGGTTGTTTGTAACGACAACAATTTTTGTCGTTAAAATGCCACAAATTGTGACAAAGCTATATTTGTCACAATAACCCTGCCTTTTGTGACAATGTACCATTTGTCACTAGAAGGTTGTTTGTAGCGACAACAATTTTTGTCGTTAAAATGCCACAAATTGTGACAAAGCTATATTTGTCAAAATAACTCCACCTTTTGTGACAATGCATCATTTGTCACTAGAAGGTTGTTTGTAGCGACAATAATTTTTGTCGTTAAAATGCCACAAATTGTGACAAAGCTATATTTGTCACTAAAAGCAAGTTAATCGCGACAAGCTATATTTGTCATTATATTGTAATTAGTTGCGACAATATATTTGTCACAAAAATCAATTTTGTCGCCATACCCTTTCCCGCCATATAGCAGGGCGCAAGGAAATTCCTGGGTGGATATTGCGACAACTTTTTGTGACAAATTTGGTTTTTGTCGAGTAAAGTTAGCTTAAGGCGACAAAGTTATTTTTTGTCACAAAAGGTCATTTTATTGTGACAAATTCATCTTGTCGCTATAGTTTTTGTCGCCAAATACCAAATTTGTTGTAGTATACGATACGGAGCCATAGAAATCGGCGCAGTACCAGGCATCAAGTCAATCACAAACTCAATCTCTCTTCTAAGAGGTAAATCCAGTAAGTCATCCGGAAACACATCTAAGAACTCACAAACAACTGACGGATAAACTGTCTCCACATCACCATCATCTTCAGCTAAAATGCTAGCTAAGAAGAAATCACAGCGGTCCCGACCACGAACATCATAACAACCAGAAACCAAGGAATCACCCCGATCTCCCACAAACACAAAACAATCTCCCTCCGGCATACACACCGAAACTCTACCACTGAAGCAATCAATCGTGGCATAAAATGATGATAACCAATCCATTCCGAGAATGACGTCAAACCCTGTCATCTCAAAAATGATGAAATAAAAAACCAAAGTCCGCCCAGCAATCACAATAGCACAATCCCGCACCACTCTGCTCAAAACCAATGGACCACTGACCGGCGTATCAACACACAATGCTCGGTCCAAGCAACTAACCTCCAATCCCGATGAAAATGCAAATGTGTATGAAATGAATAAATGAGATGCACCGGAATCAAACAAAATGCGAGCCTAAGATCCAAAGACTGGAAACATAACCCTCACCACTGACGGTCCCGAAGAAAACTCAGGAAGTGCATACACTCGGCCCTGGGATGCCTGAGCCTGTGAACCTCTAGCCTGAACCCCAGACTGATGACCAGTCCCTGAAGGAGTACCCCTCCCAGCTGGTCTCGATCCCTGTGAAGATACAGCTGGCTGTAGTGGTCTAAACCCATACTGTACAATGGCAGATTGAGATGGTCTCTGATATGTACCACGACCACTACTAGAACCTCTGCCTGAGCCACCAATCCTCCTTGGACAGTCTCTAACCCTATGACCCTACTGTCCACATCAAAAGCAAGCTCCCGTAGAAAAAGACTACGGACAATCAGACACATAATGGCCAGGATGCTGACATCTGAAACATATGACCTCACTCTTACCTGCTCCTGATGGTACGGAAGTCGAAGGAGTAGGTCGGCCTAACTACTGTCCTCTAGACCTAGATGAAGTCCCTCTCTGCCTCTTGCTAGACTGACCCTCAGCCCCTGAACTACTGGCCCGTCTTTGCTTCCACTGATCCCGAGTCTGATTTTTATTATTCAGTTCAGCTTCAACAATCAATGCCCCTTCTACAGCCTCAGGATAAGTCTGTAGGCACTGTGCTGCCACAAAATTCCTAGTCCAAAAATAAAGTCCCTCCACAAACTTATGGACTTTATCTGATTCTTTACTTACAATCTCCGGAGCAAAACGAGAAAGAGAAGTGAATCTATTCTCGTAATCTGTCACTGTCATAGAGCTGTTCTGAAATAGAGAGATAAACTCTTTGTGCAGCTCCCATCTTTTAGTTGCAGGAAATAACTTATTGTAAAATAACTCTTTGTAAGCATCCCACGACAATGTCTTCACGTCCATTCTGTTAGACACTGACTTCCACCATAATTTGGCATCCTTAGTAAAGTTATAGGTAGCCAACAGAATTTTCACAGAATCATTTTCAACTGCCAAAGCATCAATATGCTTTTCCACCTGGTCAAACCAATCATCTGCCAACAATGGGTTAGTCCCACCCTCAAACAGTACAGGCATAAGTCTAACAAATGTGGAGATAAGTTTGAGACGTCTTTTTGTCTCATCTTCCCCTGCAAACATCATTGGCGGTGGCAAACCTCCCTGTACCATAGGGTGAGATGCAGAACTTTCCCCTGACCGTCCAACTGTAGGCCTAATCTCTTGGCCTCT